CCCGCCCTGTCGTGGCTCATGCCGAAATTGTGGCCGATTTCGTGAGCCATCGTGGCGGCTGCTCCGATGGGCTGCTCCGAGTGGTCCTGCACAGGGACGGGAGAGATGGGTCAGCACAGCAGCCGGGAGCGACGGGGAGGGGTGATCCCGCAGGAGGGAGGGCGGTTGGGGTGATGGAGGGACCACAACTTCCCTGGGATTGCAGCTGGATCCCGTGGGAGGGACAGAGAGAGGGATGGAGGAGGACTCAAGGCAGAAGCGGGGTTTGGTCTCCTAAAAGTCCCGCATGGAACTGTTGGTAAGGCCTTTTGCTGGAGCCAACTGCTGAAAACCTGAGGCCTTGGAAGGTGCATACCAAAACCCAGAAACCTTGGTGCCGCACACCACCACCCTGTCTAGGGACCACAGGTCACCAGGGCCACCATCACCCCATCAGGAGAAGAATAAGAGTTATCTGGGGTGGAGATGACCCTACAAAGCCAGAGAGCACAAGCAGGGAACAGGCAGGGGCTGTTCAATGTGAGGGGCAGAAGCAACACAGGAGATCCCAACACTGTTGCTAGCTGCAAGTTAGTGGCATGTGTGGGGCAGGAGACCTTTAAACCAGCCATTTCTCACCCTTCTTAGAACTTGGCCAACATCTAAGAGGGGTAAGGGGCTACCAGCATCATCGTTCACTCTCTGGCTGCATCCCAGGACTAACCCGGGATGGCTGGTCATCAGCCCTGGCCCAGGTTGTCCAGGGAGGCTGTGGAGTCTCCTTCTCTGGAGATATCCCGGACCCGCCTGGCCGCGGTGCTGTGCAGCCTGCTCTGGGTGACCCTGCTTGGGCAGGGGGTTGGGCTGGGTGACCCCCAGAGGTCCCTTCCAACCCCGACCGTTCTGTGATTCTGTGGTCCTCAGTGAAGAACCCCAGCAAGATGGGGTGGCGACGGGGTGCCCCTGCCCCTCTTACCACGCTGACGCCTCCGGAGTTATCCGCGCTGCACATCCCCTCCAGCGGGGCCATGCCGATGGTTGTCCCCCTGAACGTCTTCCCTCTGCCCGGAAAAGAGAACGGAGGGGCAGTTCGTAACCCAGACATGGTTTGGAGACCCCAGTCCAAGCTGGGAGCCTCCTGCCCCAGTTTCCCCGGGTCCATCGGGGTGCTCACGTCAGCAGCTGGGCGTTGTCGTGCTTCTTGCGTGACCTCAGTGCCTTCTTCCACTGCAGGAAGGACCAGAGCGTGGCGTTGGCGTCGCTGGTGACAGCACACTGGTCCCGCTCCGTCCACACCTCCAGGCCGATCAGGGCCACCTTGATATTCAGCGACCTGTAAAACTACAGGGAGGGGAGAGGGATGGAGGGGACAGGGAGTGGCATTTGCTGTACATCCTCCACCCATGTCATGTGTCACCCGTATCATCTCAGCTGGTGGGTCTCCATGCTTCATGTCCAGCTAGGAGACTTGGGGACACACTTGTCCCAAATCCACCTGCAAGCATGAGCTCTACAGGCACAGGCGTGGGCACAGGAGCCAGTCAGGGTGGCATGACGCCATCCATCAGCTAACGACACCTAAACGTGTCCCTCCTTGTGTCAAGGATGCTGGCATTGATCCCCATTGCCACAGTACGGCCAAGAGCCAGCACCATCTTCACCACTGCAGGGCATCCGAGGGGTGGCAAAGCATTTTCCACACCTGCCATCTAAACTCCTACCCCCAGTGAGGACACAGGGACAGTCCCTGAGGGCCACCACCAGGCTGGCCCCGAGCTCAGGTGCTTTCTCATGCACCAGGAATCATGGAGGTGGTGGCAGATCCCTCTCGCCCGCTGTTACCTTGTCCACGTAGTTTGCGATCTCCACGATGCGCTGCTTGGTGTGGCCCAGGTTGAGGTTCTGGTTCCTGTACTGCAGAGAGACGGGGATGGGGAAGGGTCACCGGAGGAAAAGCAGGGAGAGAGACAGAGAGGGGTTCTGGCTTTTCGGCAGGGGACCCGGTTTCTGCCCCCCACGGCACTCACCAGTGTGTGATCAGCAACGATGAAGAGCTCCATGTACTTCATGGTCCTCCAGGCATCTCTCTTCGCCTGCAAGACAGACAGCAAGGCTTGGAGGAGCAAAAGAGCAGGCAGCCCACGGCTCTGGGCATCACAGGTTCCCCAGACAGTGTAGAGCTTCCCCAGCGGGACATCTGAGAAGGGAAACTGAGGCACGAGGAGACCAGGAAAATTTGGGCAGCTTCAGCGCAATTCCCAACGTCACATCACATCACATCCCACATCGTAGGACACAGCACCAATCCCCAACCCACGTCCTCCCTTTGAGGTCTCCTACCCAAACTCAAACCAGGCGAGCTGCCCACGAGCATCCCACCCACCTGCGCAACCCTGCCCAGATGCCAGGGTGAGGGCCACCCCACCGCAAGCTGCAGGCATTGAGCAGGGGCACGGACGGCCCCGCTCTCAGCCCCTCCACAAGCCGAGGACCCCAGGATGGATTTACCCGGTGTTGCACCGGCTGGAAGAGCCGAGCGATGTCAGCGATGGTGCTCCCAAAATCGTCGCCGTGGCCGCAGGTCCCACCTCGGATTGGCAAGTGCTCTGCTCGGTGGATGACGTGGTGGCCCGGCTCGGGGGTCCCCAGGGGTTTTAGGTAGTAGCTGGCGTTGCTGCTCAGCGATATCAGGCCCCTGGCAATGGAGAGCAGCTCCCAATGGCACCCGTGGTGCTTCCACTCCAGCTCCCCCAGCCCCTGCTGAGGCCCCACAAACTCAGCGCACCTCCGCTCGGTCCACACCCAGGGTGCGGGCAGAGACAAGAGATGGGCGTCTCCGTCAGCACAGCCCCATGAGCTCATACATCCTCAGCACCAAAACCTCGGTGCCGGTCACACCACGCCAACGCGGGACGGCCGCTGGTGGTGGCGA